GCTCACTCCCGCAAGGTTCTAGACGAGCTTTCTATCTAGTTATACCTGGACAAATACAGACAAGCCTGCAAGAAGCTTCCCTTGTAAGGACGCTTCCCCGCAAAGCTTACAATATAATAACCACTTTTGCTAGGGCGGTAGACTCGTGGAACATGATACTAATGACTGGTAGCTATGAGCTGTACGAGAATGGGGATGTTGAAGTCTTGATTGAAGGCCAGTCTAAGCTCGTTGTCGCTTGCTCCTACGTGTGCCCTCTTGCTTCATCGTGACCACTTGCTGCTCCTTGTCGGGCTCCTTCTTTATACGCTTCCGCTTGACAGCCTTATGATTAGCTGTTGTATGTTTTTGCCCTTTTTTGCGTGTCGATGGCAAAAAAGAGGATTTTTTTTTAGCTACCGTGCTGTCATAGTCGAACGCGACACTGGGGTGACTGGCAGCAATGAGCTGCCCAGGTGTACGAGGATAAGGGTACCGACTTGTTGATTGTAGGGCTGGTCTATGTTCTTTGTCGTTTACTCCTGCGTGTGCCTCCGTGCTTCACCGTGACCACTGGCTGCTCCCCACTGTTGTTTGTTTTTGACCTTCTTTTTACCAACCCGAATAGCAAGGACCTTTTTTTGCTCGAGCGATAGAGTCGTGGAACGTGACACTATAGTAACTGGCAGCCGTGGAGGTGAGGTTGTTGCTGTGTTGATTGCAGGACTAGTCTAAGCTCGCTGTCGTTTGCTCCTGCGAGTGCCCTCTTTTTTCACTATTACAGTTGGTTCCTCCTCAGGCTCCTTCTTTATGCGCTTCCGCTTGATGACCTCCTTTTTGATTGTCTCTTCCAGAACGACGTCTTCTTCCTCTTTCTTTATCGTCACCTCCTCTTCCTTGACCTCGACCTTGGCGACGACCCTGTCCGAGAACGTCTTTAGGTCCGCCGTGAACAAGACGGAATGCGCCCATCCGGCTTCTTTACCCCACAGCTTCCGGAACAGATTTCCAATCGCAGCGTATGTGGCGGCGGTCAAGCTACTGTGCTTGCCCTTGCCGAACCTGTAGTCCTTCTGTGCAATCTGCCAGACATGGGTGTCGACGGGTACAGACTCGGACCAGCCGAGCCCGAAGAGACACACACAGTCTGCGACCTTGGGACCCACGCCGTGGAGCGCAAGAAGCTCCTCGTGTGCTTGACGGTATCCTTCTCGACCACCTTCGAGCATCTCTCCGGCGGGCTTCTCTTCCATGCCAAATTGCGGACACTCTGGATTGCTCAGGTCTTCCAACCACTTCATGCCCTTGTCCTCGGAAACCATTCGCGCAGTCTTCGCAATGTATTTGGCGCGGTATCCAAAACCAAGCTTCATGAGATGCGCTTCGACGTCAGGGCCTGAGAGGGCATCGGGTGTGGGAAAGTCGTGGTAGGGTATGTCGTCGATGGTGCCTATATGTGGTCCATAGTGCAAGCAGAGATTGTGCACCATGCCTGATATGCGACTGATGTTGTTGTTGCTACTGCATATGAAGCCGATAAGGGCCTCCCAAGCATCCTGTCGCAGAATCCTGATACCCGTGAATTTGGGTGCGCGCTTCTTGAAGTTGGCGTCGGAGGCAGCCCATTGCTCGTAGAGCTGGCCAAGATTGGGCGCGAGGTTGAAGTAGTGCTTTATAAGAGCAGCGGTATCGTCTTCCTCGGGGGCGACTGACGGCGCTTTAGACGGAGGCGGAGTAGGAAGAGCGGTGGTGACAGGCGGGTAGGTCGCGCGGTAGTGGAGATACTCGGCGTCCTGATGGAGGGAGAGTATGCGACCATGAAGGGCCATTGACCACACGTCATCAGCTGACTTGCGCCATCTGGTCGCACGTTAGGAGATGTTCCGACTCGAGTACTGAGGCACGGAAAGATACCTGAATGATTGTCCACATCGCAAAGTCGTGTTGATGCATAGCTCAGTGAGGCTTGTAGGCAACTTATGCCACTCAGCAGCGCGTAAAGCCATTGTCGTTATAGTCGCGGTCTGCGCCAGGAGTGAATGATACATCATGGTCTGGCCTCGGTGACAGGGGTAAGGCGCCAAGGGAACGGCGCGCTAAGGCAGGCCCCGACTTTCTCTCACACGTTTTCCGCGACGGCAACCGCAACCACCGCACAAGCATCGCGTCCTAGAGCCGGGACAGTTGCGAGCTGCTGATTCATCCACTGTTTCTTGATCAGATCTGCTAATTGCAGCTTCTCCCGCCATCTCACTCCCGACAGCAGCAGCATCTTACGCGGCTGAACACACGACGGCGCAAGAGCTCCTAGCACCCACACCCGCCCACCATGAACGGCGATAGCTATTCCAGAGGTAAGCGAGTCTATCAGTACACGTACTGACTAGTGCACAGCTCCCAGAATCAAGACTAACATAAGCAGACGGTGGCCGATCCAGCGGATCGCGCAACTACGTGAGTGTCGACACTCGTCGCGACAAAAGCGAGCGTACGCTGACTGAACAGTCCTCAAGAGATGACCATCGCGATCGCGGCGAACGGGGCGACCGTGGTGGCGACAGGCGCCGCCGTCGTTCTCGCTCCCCACGCCACGGCGGAGGCTCCCGCCGCGACTACGAGGTAGACACGTACTCTTCCAGCCGCGACTACCGTGAGCGCGAGCGCGAAGACACATACGCCCGCCGTGAGCGGCGCGATGACCGGGGCGAGCGTGGAGCAGAACGTGGTGCCGAGCGCGGTGCTTGGGGCGATTCCTACTCCCGACGCGACCGACCTCGAGGAGGCGACCGCGACCGCGACGACGACCGTGGCCACCGACGGGAACGCGGAGACCGCAACGAAAGGGGCGGCGACCGATTCGGAGGCGAAGAGCGCAGAGGCGGACGGGGAGGACGTGACGGAGGCTTCGGCGGCGGGCGTGATAGGATGCGTGCGCAAAAAGAGGAGTCTCCGCCCTTCAACAAGCCCCGCGAGGCTACCCCCGACCTTACCAGCTTTACCAACATCCAGAAGCGCGAGCGTCGCATGACGCAATGGGACATCAAGCCTGCAGGCTACGAAAACATCACCGCCGAGCAGGCCAAGCTGTCGGGCATGTTCCCGCTGCCAGGAGCTCCTCGCGCTGCGCCCATGGATCCGTCCAAACTCGCCGCCTTCATTTCGCCCTCAGCAGGAACCGCTACCGCTGCCGCCCTCGCAACATCTGGCGCGAAGCAGTCGAAGCGTCTTTATGTACACAACCTGCCCCAGGGCTGCACTTCCCAAGAGATTATGGAGTTCTTCAACAACCAGCTCAACGGTCTTAACGTAGTTTCTGGCAACGACCCCTGCCTATCAGCCCACATTGCTACCAGCAAGGAGTACGCCGCATTGGAGTTCAAGGCAGCCGAAGACGCGACCCTCGCGCTCGCTATGAACGGCATTTCCATGCGCGATGACGGAGGCGCACCTGATAGGTCGGGTCTGTCTATCCGCCGTCCCAAGGACTACATTACTCCCACCGCCGACGAGAACGCATACCCGCCTGGCGATGAGGTTTCATCTGTTGTCAAGGACAGCCCTAACAAGCTGAGCATCGTCAACATCCCCACATACATCGAGGAGGAACAGATTCGAGAGCTCGTCGAGACCATGGGCAAGCTCAAGGCCTTCACTTTGGTCAAAGACACAGGAACCGATCAGCACCGCGTAGGCATCCTCCTAACCCACTGAACCTACTGAACTAACACAGCCCAGGGTATTGCATTCTGCGAGTATGCTGACAACGGAGTCATCGACGCCGTTATCGAAGGTCTCAACGACATCCCACTCGGCGATGGTAACCTCAAGGTTTCGCGCGCAACTGTCGGACTTCAGCAGACGACTGGTCTCGACGGTGGAGTTGGCGCCATCTCAATGTTGGCAGGAGCCAGCGCTGCTGAGAACCACGAGCACAGCCGTGTCATCTGCCTGATGAACATGGTCACCTCGGACGAGCTGCTCAACGACGATGAATACGAAGGTAAGCTCGGCAACATCACTTGAAACATTGCGCACTTCTAACATCGAACAGAAATCAAGGAAGACATCGAAGAGGAGTGCGGCAAGTACGGACCCATCATCGAGACCAAGATTCCTCGCCCCGCCGGTGCCCGCGTCAACCTCGGTGTTGGCAAGATCTACATCAAGTACAAGGATACAGAGTCTGCGCAAAAGGCTATCAAGGCGCTTGCCGGTCGTCAGTTCTCTCGGAGAACCGTTGTCGCAACAGAGTTCTCTGAGGAGGGCTTTGACGTTGATGCCTGGTAGATGTGAGATTGTTTTAGTTGCGCGTTCGACTTCTTCGGGTTGGTGCAGTTGCCCACCATTATTGCCGCGTTGGGGAGTACCAAAAAGGGAGAGTGAAGCTCAGCATTTGTACACTAATTTGGTTCCAGGGGATGTTAGCATGCCCATCGCTGAGATGGTACGAGGATGTACGAGGATGTGATTGTATCTTGAATACCTAGGCTAGAGTGCTAGATTTCGCTCAAGAAAGCTTGCCTAGATATCACACCGCATTGTTATTGTACTTGATGAATATGCCATGTGAATACTGTTTACCGACAAGAATTTGGTGGCCTTAATCCACCACTATGTTACTGTTGGTACGATGAAGAGAAGCTAATTCCGTGTTAATGCCGTAGCTGCCGTCGCTAAGCCCGACGCTACTGAAGATGAGAGAATAGTTTGGTCCGTCGCGGTCCTATGTGGTTCGTCGCACTCCACAATAGCTTGTTTGGGCGCGAATCCAGAGCATGCTGCCCAGAAAGGTCTGGAACTCGGTGATATCATATCCCAAGCATGCACCCGCCCGGCGCGGGACGGAGACATTGAAAGCGAAACCCCGCGTGCCGTCAAGGTGCGCACTTGCCTTAGTCAAGCGCGACCTTCAAGTCCACCGTGGTATCACGACCTTAAAAGCGCAGGAGCGCCCTCAACATCGAAAAGATTCATCACCTATTCCGACCAATACCTCCCAGGATCGTAACCCAACAACCATCATGGCGAGCATCAGGCGTTTCTTCTACTCCCAACTTTTTGTCACACCTCCCAAGCCCACCGGCGACCTAACTGGCAAGACTGTCATCGTCACTGGCTCTAATGTCGGTCTTGGGAAGGAAGCCGCACGTCACTTCACCCAGCTCAACGCCTCCACCGTCATCCTCGCCGTGCGCTCCATCGAGAAAGGCGAGGCAGCGCGCAAGGACATCGAATCTACCACAGGCCGCAGCAATGTAGTCAAAGTCATGCAACTCGACATGTCATCCTACCAATCCGTCCTCGATTTCGCCCAGAACGCGAGCAAAGAACTCGACCGAGTCGACATCGCAGTTCTCAACGCCGGCGTAACCCGCGCCGCATGGGAAGTTTTCGAACAAGACGAGTCTACCATCACCGTGAACGTCGTTTCCACCTTCCTGCTGGCTTTTGCGTTGTTGCCCAAGCTCAAGGAGACGGCAAGCAAGTTCAACACCAGACCCACGCTTACCATTGTGAGCTCCGAGGTGCATGAGTGGGCAACTTTCGATGAGAGGAATGCGCCTGAGGGGAAGCTTTTTGAGAGATTGAACGAGAAGGTCGTTGATGGGAAGGAAGTTAGCCTGAACAACCGGTATCAAGTCAGCAAGCTACTGGAGGTACTCTTTGTCCGCGCGTTCTGCGAGCGATACCCTGAATCGGCTATTCCTGTCACCGTTAACCTTGTCAACCCTGGATTCTGCCATTCGTAAGTCTAAAGTACTCCGTTTTCTGGCCTGTCTTATTCTGACCGTTTAAAAGCGAATTTGGTCGCGAAAATGGCATTGCCCTCGCATTTGCACGCTTACTGCTTGCGCGGAAAACGGAAGTCGGATCGAGGACTCTCACGCACGCTGGTATATCGGGGGTTGAGACGCATGGGAAATATCTCCTTGACTGTGAGATTACTGAACCGAGCCCGTACGTGCGGAGTGAAGAGGGGAAGAGAGATCAAGAGAGGGTTTGGAAAGAGTTGACAGCGAAGTTGGAGGGGATTAAGGCTGGGATTACAGAGAGCTTTTAGGGCGGTGATACAATGAATCAGCTTTTTGACTACATGAGCTGCAGTCACTGACGTGTAGAGCTCACTTTAACTGGCACTTACATTCTTGGTTGGGTATTTTCGCCTTTGTGTTTGAGTTAACCCCTTACAAAGTCCCGACATTCACCAGTTCTACGCACGCACACGCTCAACCGCGAGCTCAGGTCTATAGCCATGGCCACCGGTATGAATACTGACTACCCCGTCGTGCCGATTCGAAGATATCTCGATGCTGTCGAAGACTTGGCCGTACCGTCTAGACGCACACAGGGTACCGGCCGCGCATATACTCGTCCACTGTTGTCGCCGTTCGAGCAACTTCCGTTGGAGATTCGTCAAGAGATATATGGATGGCTCGGCTTCCCCATCGGCGGCAAAGTATGGGAGCCTATTGCCACGAAGCAAGGTGGAATGTGTGTACGCACGACCTTACAATGTATCCTCTTCCCAAGGTGGGATTTGTTCCCAGAGGGTTTTTATGATATCACACATGCGACTACTCGTTTACCAATTCAATCAAGGTGGAATTGCGTGGAAGAGGTAAATCACACGAGAGCAAGTCGTACGTCACTAAAGCTCTACAGCTATTCGGTTGGTGGTCCGGACTTCTATTCGTCTCTAAAGGCATTCGACGCGAACTTTGGGATACGATTTTCCACAGCATCGACGTAGTGTTCGGTTTCCAAGTTAGCAGCAAGGCTGTTCATTTCAGTGTCCCACAACAAGGACACAGGTACGGCAACGATCGACCGAAGTAAGCTTGCGACAATACTCATGTCACCGGTATCCGAGCCTGACCTTTTAGGGGCTTCTATCGCATGCACCTCAAGGATGAGCAATTCGCCAATCTGACCAAGGTCACTCTCACTGAGAAATGCGGTCATACGTATTCCACCGATAACCCTCATCGCATGGCCAAAGTATCACCCCGCTCCATACTAGTCCGTCAGGCGCATTCAGTACGTTACATCGCAGATCATTGTCCCTTTCTCACCCAGTTCCGGATACAACCTTACCTCCAAGGCTCCGTGACCTGGAGTTCACGAAAGCGCCGTGGCCTTCGTGGCGTTGCCCCAAAGTCCACGGAAGCTCTGATCCAGGCCATCGTATACCTCGTAGAGAGGTGTGAGCATCTAGAAATCATTTGCATCCGATACGTAATCGAAGTCCACGAGACAGAGGACTGCTACCTGGATCAGAGGCTGTGCCAGGAATACTTCAGCTCATCGTGCAAGTGCCGGGAGCAGGACTGCGAGTTTCTGGTACCGGAATTGGGCTACTTGGAACGTCTAGAGTGTGCAGAGAAGTGGGCAAGGTATTACCTTGATTGGTTGCGCCAGGATAAACCGGAATGGGAATTGGCGTGACCTTGCCCCACTAGACGTAGAAGACGTTCTGTGTGGTATCTTGCAAGAAGTCACGACCCTGCAACAAGGACTACAGTACAGAACACTAACTACTCGTACACACAAGCAAATGGCTTACGATAAAGAACAATTATGTTGTGTGTCACCTTGAATTCATCTCACTGCCGGTTGCTTGTCCTCACAAATCTATCTGAGCTGCAGGTCTCGCGATGTTGGTACGCCAAGTGTGCGCATTCACTGGGTTCTTCTGGTAGACGTTGGCTTCGAAGAACTTGTCGTGAGCCGCACACTTGAAGTTCTTGTACCTAGAGTGCGATTAGTTACAAATGTTCCCGATCCATTATCCTCGCTGCACTCACGTGTTCAGCTTCTCAAAGTCCGCATCAATGAGCCATTGCTCAGTCACCTCAGCGAATGTGCCATCGAAACCGGTAACGAAATATCTCTTGCTTTCCAGCGGGCCCCAGTTGGTTTGCTTGACAACTTGAACTGCGAATTTAATGTTGGCCGCTGACGGCGCAGTACCAGTGTCGGTTGCTTTGGGGTAGCCTGCCCAGTCCATGAAGATCTCGAACTTGGATTCGTGGGACAGATAACGGTTCCTATATCCCTGGATATTTGAGCAGCAGAAGATCGAGATCATTATTGGCAAGCAAATTTCATAGCCGTTATAATGAGCGGTTTCTGTGGCAGGGTAATGAGCTTCGCAAATGTGTCGCTTTTATAGTCGCGCAGTGTTTGTTAGCGACTAATCAACCGCAAATATGAACAAAGAAGGCCCATGACGTGCAGTTTGTATCACTGGTTTTTGCGACTGTGGCATAATTGGTGAGAAGGTAAGGCTCAATTCGTCTATACTACACAAACTACAACTAAAGGGTATCGTCTCATCTAATCATAAACACCTAGTTCTTGAGAACGTAGCGGTACCTGGGAAGGCCCTTCTCGAAGTCAACGATGACATCGTTGGCCTCAGACATAGGCCTGACCTGGACCCAAGCCTTGAGGTTGGTCTTCTTGGCCAACTCCAACATGTCGCGGATGTGCTGCCTGGTACCGATCAAGCTACCAGCAATCTTCAAGTTCTTGAAGATGAGGCCCATGGGGGAGAAAGAGGGCAATGGGTCGTCGGGAGCACCGAGCTGAACGAAAGTACCGTTGACGTCGAGGAGGTTGAGGTACTGGTCGAGAGGGAAACCACCGGAGATGGTGGAGATGATGATGTCGAGGCCGGCGGCGTTCTTGTTCATCCAGTCGGGGTCCTCGCCGGTAGCGATGAACTTGTCAGCACCGAGCTCGAGAGCGTCGGCCTTCTTGCTGGAGGAACGGGAGATGGCAACGACCTCGTCGCATCCGAGAGCCTTCGCGAAGAGGAGGGCGAAGTGACCGAGACCACCGATACCGACGACACCGACGCGCTTTCCTGGGCCGGCACCGTAGGAGACGAGAGGGTTGTAGACAGTTACACCACCGCACATGAGGGGAGCGGCGAACTCTGAAGGAAGACCCTCGGGAATGGGAATGGCGAAAGCGGCAGGTCCGCGCCAGTTCTTTGCGTAACCACCCATGGCCTTGTCGCCAGTGCTGTACTTGGCGTTGTAGGTCATGACGAAGTTGTTGCAGTTGCTCTCCTGCTTGGTCTTGCAGGGCCTGCAGCCCTCGCAGCAGTCGCTCTGAGCACCAACACCAACGCGGTCACCGACCTTGAGGTCCTTGACATCGTCTCCTACACGGGTGACCTTTCCGATGATCTCGTGACCGACGACGAGAGGGTAGTCTGAGGGGCCCCAGCCGGAGCGGAGAGTGTGGATGTCGGAGCCGCAGACACCGCAGTGGCTGATCTCCATCTCGATGTCGGTAGACTCGAACTTCTTGGGGGTGTAGTCACCCCATTGCATGTTACCGTCGGCGGCGGAGGGGTCATGGGCGACCCATCCCTTGAAGTCTGGTGAGGAAGACATGATTGTTTGGTGACGTTACTGAAGAGGGAGAGTGATGAGTTGTTGTGAGAGAGTTTAGGATTGTTTGATGAGGTGCAGAACCTTCAGCTGCTTCTCGTCAGTCTTATACCTATACACGTTTTCTAGAAGTTTTCCAGCATTTGTAATACATCAAGAGACGGTATGAGGTTGCCGTTTCGTTATCCTAGTGTTTTGCTCTTTCGCCGATCTACGCCGACGGCATCGGACCCACTTTGACGACGTTTTTGAGCCTCAAGCGGTGCGTGCACAACATATCCGTTAAACCCGCCCTCACCGGTCCGATAAGGGTATGGGTCTGAGGCGACAAGACTGCAAAACTCTCGGACGAGGCTCGCGGTGAAGACGTCAATCTGGGGCCAGTCCCGTAACGTGTATCATCGATCTGCCGCGACACGTGGAAAGCCCAAGGAGGAAGGCGTTTGCGCAACGCTAATCTAGCTCCCGTTGACGTGTCGGGATTTAGAATCGGTTGGAATCTTTCTATGCTTCTAGACCTGGTCGTGTTGTTATGTCAACATCTCAGATATCTCCCTTTGCGTTGACCGCCAAGCTGAACACGCGCGCCGTCTTCAACATACAACCCACCTCATGCCATTGTCTCATGCGCTTGGCCTAATGCTACCGGTTGTTATATCTCTCAGAAAGGGCCGGGGTTGTCATGCACAAGATCGTGTGACCGGAAGTTGCATCATAATAAGTTAGCATTACAGGGTCCAAATAAAGTAATCGCGGATCTCACAAAAGATATTGCAGTCTTATCAGCGCGGAGATATTTCTTCCCATCATGCAAGTTTCTCCTTTATCCACTCAAGACCTTTTTTCAGCACCTGCTTCGCTTCTTCGTACTCTTGCCACTGAAGATTCACTTCGGCCCTTTTACGTTCAAGCGGTTCGCGGCCGGGTATCGAGAGCCTTGCGTCATAGGTTTCGGCGCCATCATCGAGTTTGATCTTGATGATGCGCTCCTCTTCGACATGACCGCAGAGGAGATCCCATACATGTTTCGTCACTTTGTCGAGTAAGAGTGTTGGTTTGTTGTCTTCGTATCGACAGATAAGTGGCAGCTTGATGGAGAATCCGGAGGTGCGAGACCTCATCTCCAGGGATAGTGTTCGTTCCCCGAAACCGTGTTCGGAGCCATACAACGCCTCATCCAGGGCCTTTAGCGCACTTGCCCTCATAGACACTGTAAGCTTTTTTAAAGACATAGAAAATCAGCTAGCCAGAGTATGTGTGTAGAAGTTGAATGTGAGTTGCTTCGCGCAGATGACAAGGATCTTAGGTACTGTGTATTCTGCTTACCGGTAAGCAAGCCCAAGATTGCGCTGAAGTCACGCCTGCGGTTAGAGTGACCGTGCAAAAATCTGTTATAGTCGCTCAATGACAAGTCATATGTAGCTTGATAGAATCTTTGAAGGCGTGAGTTGGGCAGCGCCACGACTGCACCACGAGGCGTTTTAGCGTAGCACTTCCAGGCGCTGCGTCTGCGGGTATGTGAAGCATGGCGTTGAATTCTGGATACCAATATAAATAGATCAACAAATTTCACAAGCTGCCGATAATGTGGCGATGAAGAACAATGGCTATATTGAACTGCAGCTGTTGCATCGTGAAGATTGTTGGTGTTGAGATCTCGGGAGACATGGGCCGAAGCGGAGATGACGTCTAGCGTCTTGGCAGTCGTCATAGCCCAAGCTCTCGGTGGCAGACGATTTCGGAGAAACCACCTGGGCACGATGCCCTTCTACAGTCCCGAATTCGAACGTGTGACGTCTGGAGTCCACGTGAAAACGAGCATTATGGGGTCAGTACGGGTCCATGTCTTCAGATGATTGAGACAACGACCACGACTACAAGACATCAGCAAGACCGCCTTCTTCACTATGTCTAGGTGACTGTATAACATTTGCATGTGCGACAAACAGAGAGTTCAGGTCTCACACCATGTAAGCTAAAACAAAGAAACCAATATTTATTTCATTTACAATGTATGCCCGTTAGAGCTTCACTCAAAATCTGACAACACCATCCCTCTCCGTCAATATTCGCGGTGCGCGAGTCGGAATTCGCCGAATTTACTATCGACACGCCTCCAACAAGTGTAAAATATGGCGTCTGCCGAGCCCTTGACCAACAAGCACGCCGTGGGCGACCAGACTGAAGCTGATGCGGTGTCCGTCATTAGCGATGATGAAGGCATTGAAGAAGACTTGCGGAAAGATGTCCCGCTACCGCCAGAAGTCAAACGCGGACCTGAAGATGAGCCCTTCGAAACTCTTAAGCACAAGGCTTCACAGCTCATCCTCGATCTATTTCCTGGTTATTGCGCCCGAGACGTGAAGATTGAACGCATGCAAGACGGAGAAAACAACCGCTTCCTCAGCGTCACGCTTTGCAAGATCCCGCCTAAAGCGCCATGGTACACGACTCAGAGGATTTTCGAACTACTTCAGCCATGTCTTACAGGTCGGCCGACACGTCAAAACAAGCGAAAGCGTCTTGTTCTTCGCATACCACACAATCCTGATCAAAGCATGCACCATCAAGCTGCCATGCTAGCGTATCTGGGCATGAAGCTCGAATATCCGGTCCCCAAGATTGTCACATTTGATGCGACCGCAGATAACGCGCTAGGTCGATCATACATGCTCCAAAAGCGGCTGCCTGGCCAACGCCTGGACGCCCTCTGGCCAACGTTGAACCAAGCCCAGCGACTCAGTGCCGTGCGAGCCATGTCCGCCGTCTTGTTAGATGTAAGGAAGATACGGAACAAGTGCCCTGGTCTCATCGGCGTTCGCAACACGACCTACGATCTCAAGAACGATTTCGTCAGCACGGAGCCGATACCCATCCCCCGTTTCAGAAACACCACCAACCAAGTAAACTTCAACGTCGCACGTTCAGAGCCACAAAGCACAAAAGACTTCTTGCTCGATCTCTGTGCTCGCCAGCGTTCTTATTCGACTGCTGCGAAACAACCTGGTGGCAAAGAAGTCTGGGTTAGGATCGCCAAAGTGATTGAGACATTACATGAGTCCGGCCTCATTCCGGATTCTTCACCGTTCCACTTCTACCATGGCGACTTCAATGCACGCAATCTTCTCGCCTCTATCACTTCGAAGTCAGAAATAGCGATCACTGGAATCGTAGGCTGGGATTTCGCGCTATTTGCGCCGGCTTTCATGAGCACGCGCGCGCCGTTCTTCCTATGGAGTGGCAATGTTGGCGAAAGAGGCGAGGAAGGCGGTGCGTTGGTCGAACCGGAGGAGGCGGATTTGTTGGAGGCTAAGCGCGCTTTTGAAAGCGTTGTGGGCGAGGGCTTCCTGAAAGAGGCGTACTCCCCAGCATTGGTTCTCGCGCGCCGGTTGTGGCGCTTTCTGGCCAGTGGTTTCACGAATGGAGCGGATATCTTTCTTGCGGAAGAGATTGTGGAGGAGTTCGAGAGGTTACATTCATCAGCGTAGGCTGGGTGTGGATGTGCAGTAGGGAGCTATCGTGACGTAGGGTCAGATCGTTCGACGATGCGGTGGTAGCCGGCTAGAAAAACCCCAATTTCGTAGTTCAACAGTAACGCGTTGTGATTGTACTAGGTGTTGATTAGGCAGCAAAGACAAAGAGGCTTTCTTCTCTGCAACGAGGTCGCTATGCCATCGCTTCCACCCCATATACAGGCATTCAGATTGGTATACTTACAGTCAGTCATCATCGCGCTCTTTGAGGACAGAAGTTCTGTGATCAAGATCATACGCATCGTCGTATGTATCGAAGAAAGCGGGTTTCGAGATACCCTGTAGTTGGTGGCCACACGGTTGCCAGCTATTCGATTCCCAGCCATCTGGACAATAGAGGTGCTGCTTGTACTCATTCGCAATCTCTTCGTTCGCTGTAGGCCATGCTTCAATAAAAGCTGGTAGAACTGTACACTTATAGTCAGTACCCGGAACGAGACATGCCAGTTGTGGGGTTGGCCTTACTATCTCCACAAGTGCGAACCTTGATGACAAAGTCAAAGTGAATCCCGCATTGTCTGCACTGGATGGCATATTCGTGGAAGTTGAAGTGTGCGTCAATCTCCGTCTCTGAGACGTCATGATTCTCGCCCAGCACATACATTATGATGCCAAATTTCTGAAGACGAATGCTGCCACTCTGACATGCATCAAGTAGGCTTTGGACATGTGGATCGCATTGAGGTCGTTCATACCGCAAGTCAAACACGCCTCGCCCGCCGCAAGAGTCCCAGCCTTTGCTGAGTACGAGTGTTTCCAGACCCATTGGCAGAAGCTTGTCGAGACTTCGCTCTTCCGGCTTGTCGAAAGGACCTAGCGTGGGTCAGCAAGTTACAGATCAATGACGGGTATTGCATACTAATCAAGAGTTCAAACGGTACAGCAAGATACCGCAGACTGGCAAACTTTTGGAGTGTACCCAACCTCGTATCGCTGTATTCACGGCGTTCGCACAACTCCAGAGCTTGAAGTCCGGGTTGTAGCGTCTCCAACAAGGCCTTAGCCTCAGACCACTGCCACTGAGTATTGCCTGTGGCATATGTTGACGACCCCCAAGAGAAGGATGTAAGTGCCTTGCATGAGCCAATAAGATTTTCCAACAATTCAAGATCACACTCGAAGTTTTCCAGTCGTATTTTTTCGACCTTGGACCTCTTCGGGGGACATCCCCAGGAAAAAGGGGGGTCGCTGAGACTGGGTTCAAGATAATCGTGGTCTGACAGGACTACTTCCCGTAGAGAGTCTAGCCGAAGGATGGGCGCTAGCCAATTGATGTGCAATCCTTGCATTCGGATACTCAGTCTTTTCAGCCTTGTGAACTGGTGCACACGACCATAAGGTATCCCTAGGCTTGCGGAGAAAAGAGGTAATAACGCCGCCTGTGGCTGGCGCTGGACCCAACTCCGATTCTCTCCTTCGGCACGTGCTGCTCCTGGACAACAATTCAGGGCGACGGTCTCGATGTTGGGCGTGAGCCACAGGATCAAGGCTGACTCCAAAGCACTGAATGCGTCTTCACCTTTGCGGAAAAGTGTAGCATATTCTTCGTTAGGAATGCCGAGACTCTCAATCTTAGAGCAAATCATCTGTATGTCTTGAAAGCTGCGGATGTGAGAGCTCATGTGCTCGTCTCCGACAGATACCTGGCCAACCTCTTTCATCTCTTTTACCAACGCACCTAGCGCAGGGTTGGTGATCAGACTCCTGATGAATCGGGTTGATGGTTCGGTATCGTAGCAATGATCATACTTTCTATACATCATGGTTGTGGCGGCGCGGTTAAGAGAGCGGCATGTCAGAGCTACCGATGCATAGTCGAGAATCGGCCGTCGGGGCCGGATTGCGTCGCCTTCGAGGTCTGTCACTGTAAATTTACTCGTTGGGTGCACAATATCGGGGAGGTATTCCAGGATTCTCAGTAGTATCTCGTCCGGTAGTGTACTGATGTAATCTCCCTTGTTTGTCGATGTGTCCTTCGAAAGCGGGAGGGATTCTGACAGGCTAACGCCGCCTCTGGCAAGGCTCCTTGTGGTCGGCCGTTCGCGGTCCGTCGCCTTAACCATGGTGATTGATGGGACTTTCGAAGTATGGGTCGTTGTAGAGACGTATGTGCCTGGAGAGGATGGGATGGATCGCACGAAGGCGGGCCCCGGCGGTCAAGCTCCCGAGGTCGCTCCGGTTGCCGCTAAAAACCAAGTTTGACCCCACCCGGCTGCTCCGCCGACGCGTCGGTTTCGCGTTCGCCGCGACGCGCATCTTGGCGACACTTGATCACGACATCGACACTCAACAGTATATACGAGACTCACTTTTGGACGCGGTCAAATCGTCTGCACCTTAATTTTTCCAACAATAAAATAACACAGCTATTTTGCCAGCGCCGCTGATGCATCGAGCCTCAAGTCCTCCTTAAGCAGCCACCGTCTGTACATGGAAAGGATAATCTGTGTATCCCTTTTGCGGCGGATCAGCGCCATAGAAGGTATTGCGATCATACTGATTCAGCTCTAGGCCCTCAGCGAGGCGCTTGGGCAGATCCGGGTTCGCTATGAACCACCGACCGAATATGACGAAGTCAGCATCTCCGGACTCTACCTTCGGCGCGGCATTGTCTCTATTGAACCCACCAGCCGCAATGAACTTCACGCCACCCTTCTTTAAGATGTTTCGGAAGTTGACGAGTGTGTTGCCCTTGACCTTGACCGTCGCCTCCGCCTCCACGCCCTTGCCTCCTTGTGTGGTGTAAGCGGCCAGAGCGTCCATCTTGGCTTGCTCGTCGAGGACTTCATCGAAGCGCGGTTCGACCCTGGCTATCATCAGCATCAGCCTGGGGACCCAAGTGGTTCAACTCACATGTGGACATATGCCGGCCTCTCACCCTGCGGAAGCGACGCGATCTTCTCGCATAGGTACTCCCAGTGATCGTTGGGATTGCTATCCTTGGTGTTCTGGAAATAGTTGTATGGGCTGAGACGGATGCCAACTCTGTCAGCACCAATGGCTTTGGAGCAGGCTTGGATGACTTCAAGCGGAAAGCGACTGCGACCTTCGATTGACCCACCATACTGGTCCGTTCTCTTGTTGACATTGTCGTGTAGGAACTGATCAAGCAAGTACCCATTCGCGCCGTGGATCTCGATACCGTCAAAACCGGCCCCAACCGCCTTCTTCGCGGCTTCTGCCCAGGTCTTTGTCAACCCTTCGATTTCTTCAACAGTCAATGGCTTAGGTGGATGATCGGCGCACGCGACACCGTCAAGCCAACTACCTTCCATAGGCACGTCGCTTGAGCTGACCGTTGGCGCTCCGGCCCGGAAGGACGGTGGACTAGCACGTCCAGTATGCCACAGCTGGCAGAAGATGTATCCGCCTTTTGCGTGGACAGCATCCGTGACCTTCTTCCAGCCGGCAATCTGGGAGTCCGAGAATACACCCGGTACACCTGGGTATCCGCTGGCCTAGTACAAGTCAGCACGTTTGCTTCGACTGGTCGCGCACTACCCACGTATTTGGCAATGTCAGTGGCCTCTGTCAATTGCAATCCGCCCTTGCTTGCGCGTTGGCTGTAATACTCAACGTGTAGCTCTTTCGGTACGAACACTCCATCTTCTTCTTTGGTTGCTCGCATGCGTGTCAATGGCGCCTGCACTATTCTGTGCTCGAGATCCAGAGAGCCGAGTTTGAACGGCGAGAAGAGCGCAGTCTCTTTGAGTGGCTTGAAGCCTGTCGGGCTATCTGCTTTCGGCATATTTGTCGGTATCGCACTTGCACTGATGACTGCGAAAAGGAGAGAATGAAGTCGTTGCTGCCACAGAAGATTTGTAACAGCTACATGGCTGCTGCTCAGGGTCTCCTATGTACCTGGCGCTAGTGCCAGAAACGGTGGTCGCCATCGCCGCAGATCCCATGTTGGGGAGTGGTGTTTGCAGATACAGAAATGGGGGAGGGACAGATGCAGCCAAGCGTATGACGAGGCTGGTGTTTGCGGAGTACGAACGAACAGCCATCTGTACGACGCTGTTGCGCTGTGGTCCAAGAGTGGGGTACTGCGGGCCCGGCCATCGGAAAGGCGAAATCGTCTATTATCGGAACAGTCGTCTCGCGCCAACAGACCAATCAGCGATAGCATTACGTGAGAAAGGTGTGAATACTGCGGAAACGGGTGTTGCGTAAGGATATTATGAAGAGAACATCGCGTTCTCTATCGCTTCGGCCTCATTACCTGTCTGCTTGAGTTTGACACCCGTCATGTCTCTGCCGATTCCGCCGAAAAGCAGTGCAGATCCGCCGCGGGGCCTTTCCGCTACCGAAGCCCTTACACCTCTCATCGAGACGACATTCAGAACACCGGACATAACAACGTGGATTAACGGAAGGAAAACAATCATCACCAATCCAAACCCGCACTGGACTCTGCTGGACTACATCCGCGCTCAGCCGGACCTCAAAGGCACGAAGCTAGGGTGTGGCGAGGGTGGATGCGGCGCATGCACTGTTGTTCTGCAGGTTGCAGATTGGCAGTCTGAAAAGAAGGCAATCAAGCATCTATCAGTAAACGCGTGCCTATTCCCTCTAGTTGGTATCGATGGCAAGCATGTCATCACCGTGGAAGGCATCGGCAATGTTGGCAGACCGCATCCTCTGCAAGAGAGGATCGCGAAGTTGCACGGCAGCCAGTGTGGCTTCTGTAAGTCAACCAGACGTCATTTCCTGCATTCATACTGACTATCTTAATAGGTACGCCTGGTATCGTGATGAGTCTGTACGCAGTGGTGCGCAACGCGTACAACCCTGAGACGAAGAAGTTCCACCTCAGCGCTCGAGAGATCGAGATGGAGGGCCACTTGGACGGCAACTTGTGCCGCTGTACAGGTTACAAGCCGATACTTCAAGCTGCAAAGACATTCGTCACCGAGGATCTGAAAGGTCAATTGGCAGAAGAAGACGAGCCAACAACTGCCGACGCCGAGAAGTTCGAGAAAGATGTCATTGATCTGACTCGCAATGGCTGTGCAGGTCCTTCCAAGGTCTCCTGCGGGCGACCGGGTGGCTGCTGTAGGGATAGCCCGTCCGACAGCAGCTCAACAGACACCAAGTCAGATACCTCGTCACCTCCAACGGAGCCAACATCGGCGTCAGAAGACGAGCACATCACTGCCGTTCTGGATGCAAAAGCACAGCCGCAACCGGATCTCGAGATTAGCGGCGCAGACTACGCGAAACCGCTGAAGAGTAAAGAGCATGGTGCGGCTGCCGAATCTAAGACTGTCACATCCACATTCGAGGCACCGGCGGCGACATCAGAGAAGGGTGTCCCGAAGATCGAGTTCTCTGAATATGTTCCTGATACCGAGCTCATCTTCCCTCCTGCGTTATGGAAGTATGAGCCGCAGCCGCTATGTTACGGTAACGACAAGAAGATCTGGTTTCGTCCTACAAAGCTCGAGCAACTTGTGCATTTGAAAGATGCATACCCCTCAGCCAAGCTCATCGGCGGTGCCAGTGAAGTTCAAGTGGAAGTCCGATTCAAGAACTCCGACTTTGCTGTTTCAGTCTACATCTCAGATATACCAGAACTAAAGCAAACGCGGATGCCAAAGCATGCTGAGCTTGAGACAGCCAAAGAACTCGTCGTTGCGGCGAATACCCCGCTCACTGAGCTTGAGGAGATCTGTAAAAAGGTTTACACAATGCTCGGAAAGCGTGCGATGGTGCTAGAGGCCCTTCGCAAACAATTGCGATATTTCGCGGGTCGTCAGATTCGTAACGTTGCATCATTAGCTGGCAACATTGCAACAGCATCGCCAATCTCCGACGCCAACCCTGTGCTGCTTGTGGCTGGTGCTACCCTCGAAGCTGTGAACAAGAAAGATGGCAGCGTTGATCTCCCGTTGTCAAGTTTCTTCATCGCTTACAGAACCACATCACTCCCGCCTGATGCAACGCTACATCGAATTCGAATCCCTCTACCTCCGGAAGGATCACGAGAGGTTCTCAAGGCTTACAAGCAAGCCAAGCGCAAAGACGACGACATCGCAATCGTCACGGCTGCGTTCCGAGTGCGTTTAAATCCTGACGGCCTAGTGGAGGATGCTTCGATCGTATACGGCGGCATGGCGCCTATGACGAAGGAGTCACCCAAAACCCAGACTGCCCTCTTGGGTAAGCCCTGGTTTCATTCGGAAACCCTTGATGCTGCTCTCACGGCGTTGTTACAGGATTACGATCTTCCATACGGTGTTCCAGGTGGCATGGCAGATTACCGGAAAACGCTTACCCTGTCTCTTTTCTTTCGGTTCTGGCACGAATCTGCTGCTGAGTTTGGTCTTGGCAACGTTGACGAGCAGGTGATTGATGAGATCCACCGGGAGATCTCCAGTGGTGCTCGCGATGATTACAATCCCTACGAGCAGCGCGTAGTAGGTAAGCAGGTGGCGCATCTATCTGCTTTGAAACAGTGCACTGGCGAGGCGGAGTACATCGACGATATGCCACGACTAGATCGTGAGCTATTCGGTGGACTCGTCATGTCGACAAAGGCCCACGCTAAAATCCTGAGCATCGATTGGGAGCGAGCGCTTGAGCTGCCTGGGGTTGTTGGCTACATCGATCGGCACAGCATACCCTCGGATGTCAACATCTGGGGCTCGATCAAAAAGGACGAAGCTTTCTTTGCTGAAGACAAGGTTCTGTGTCACGGTCAGGTCATTGGTATGATCTATGCGGAATCAGCTTTGGAAGCTCAAGCGGCTGCGCGGGCTGTGAAGGTCGAATATGAAGAACTACCCCCCATCCTCACTATCGACGAAGCTATCGCAGCAGAAAGCTACTTTGCACATGGAAAGAATCTGAGGAAGGGCCTTGCAATCGATGACAAGATGGACAACGCCTTCGCCCAATGCGACAAGATATTCGAAGGTGTAAGCCGGCTAGGTGGGCAGGAGCACTTCTACCTCGAGACGAATGCAGCGCTTTCTATACCTTCCGGGGAAGACGGGGCTATGGAGGTCTGGTCGTCGACACAGAACACCATGGAAACTCAGGAGTTTGTTAGCTCGGTGTTGGGTGTGCCAAGCAACCGCGTCAATGCCCGCGTGAAGCGCATGGGAGGCGGTTTCGGTGGTAAGGAGTCTCGCAGTGTGCCGTTCGCCGTATACACAGCGATAGCTGCTAGGAAGGAAAAGCGACCAGTGCGCATCATGCTGAACCGCGATGAAGACATGCTGCTCAGCGGCCAGAGACATCCTTTCCAGGCTCGTTGGAAAGTCGGTGTTTCGAAAGAAGGCAAGCTCATCGCGCTTGAAGCTGATGTCTACAACAACGCTGGCTTCTCTCAAGACATGAGCGGGGCAGTCATGGATCGATGTCTGACGCACTTTGACAACTCTTATGAGTGTCCAAATGTGTTCCTACGTGGTCACGTGTGCAGGACCAATATCCACAGCAACACTGCCTACCGAGGATTCGGAGCGCCTCAAGGCATGTACTTTTCCGAAACCGTCATGTACAACATCTCAGAAGGTCTGGGCATGGATGTCGACGACCTACGATTGAAGAACCTGTACAAGCCTGGACAACACACCCCATTCTTCCAAAAGATCGACGAGGATTGGCACGTTCCGATGCTTTTGCACCAGCTGAGCAAGTCTGCCGACTACGAGAATCGGAAAGCTGCCATCAAAGTCTTCAACTCAAAGAACCGGTGGAGAAAGCGAGGTATCTGCCTCGTTCCTTCAAAGTTTGGTCTTAGCTTTGCGACAGCCCTACATCTCAATCAAGCTGGCGCTTACATCAAGATCTACCATGACGGTAGCGTGCTACTACATCATGGAGGAACAGAGATGGGTCAAGGTCTCTACACGAAGATGTGTCAGATAGCAGCGCAAGAGCTTGGTACCCCGCTCGATGCCATCTACACCCAGGATAGTCAGACATACCAGATTGCGAACGCATCCCCTACCGCTGCGTCATCTGGATCCGATCTGAACGGCATGGCTGTCAAGAATGCATGCGATCAGATAAACGAACGCTTAAGACCGTATCGCGAGAAGCTAGGAAAAGATGCGCCACTGAAAGCGCTCGCTCATGCCGCTTATGTCGATCGTGTCAACCTTGCTGCGAACGGCTTTTGGAAGATGCCAAAGGTCGGGTACACCTGGGGCGACACAAATTTGGAAACCGTCAAGCCCATGTACTACTACTGGACCCAAGGAGCGTGTTGTTCTGAAGTCGAACTTGATCTACTTACTGGCGACCACACTGTGCTACGCTCCGACATCATGATGGTAAGCGCTACTGCACATGCATCCATTTCAACATACTAACGAAGCTTCAGGATGTCGGCAACTCCATCAACCCAGCGATAGACTACGGACAGATCGAAGGCGCCTTTATCCAAGGCCAAGGTCTTTTCACGATCGAAGAGACACTCTGGACTCGAAACGGCCAGCTCTTCACTCGGGGCCCTGGTACATACAAGATTCCCGGCTTCAGCGATATCCCACAGGTCTTCAACGCCAGTATGCTTCGTCACGATAACGACGGCAACCCGTTGTCGTGGAACCATCTGAGGAGTGTTCAAAGTTCCAAGGGTATTGGTGAGCCACCGCTCTTCCTGGGATCAACGGTCTTCTTCGCGCTGAGAGAGGCGGTGTTGGCGGCGAGGAAGATGAACGGGAAGAATGACCAGGGATGGAATTTGGACAGTCCGGCAACCTGTGAGAGGCTCAGGTTGGCGGTTGGAGATGACCTTGTTGACCGGGCAAGAACGGTAAAGAAAGAGGGTGAGACGAGTTTCTTGGTTGCAGTGACATGATTATGGACATGGGAAAACGCGTTCAACACTTTCATTCATCATTTCGTATCACATACGTATCCATTAATGCACGGCGCTTCCCTTGCTCAGTACGTTTCGAGGTATGACGCGTCCGATAAATGCGTGCTCGACTTCAGTGAGAACACAATTTGATGTAGCAATGCTGTCGCTCACCCAACAACTCCTACAGTAAATACTCTCATTCTTCTCCCAGGGCTTTCATTACAGTGCCGTCGGTTGAGAAATGCCTATCGTGCAGCTTATCGGAAAGCGAAGCCGGTAGCGATGACCTCAGCGGTGGCATGACTAATGGTCGCGCGGCAGTGTGTCAAGTAAGTCGCGTCGGGCCATGATAGAGCAGCTACCAACACCAACCGCATCCCTTGCATCAATGCAGCTTGCCTGAACAGGTTCCTAGAACTCCCGTGTCCTCCAATATGACAGCAGCTCCACATGAGGCCACCATGGTCTACCTAGGTATCGCCATGCGAACCACGCGCGGCGGAGATAGCCGCAAATTCTCCGCACCTAGCTGCTGACGCGCCCGACAATCGAGCAGCATCGTCAACCACAGCCTACGTGCCTGCTGCCCGTTTGCCAGGTCCACACACGAAAATAAAGATGGAATGAACGCGTTTGACGATGGATGTTGATGGCGTTGGGAAACCTCACCCCCACTCTTGGAAATGCGTTCCCAAAGCTACGCCACCACGCGCAACCCCGCCCACTAGCGGCACGACTCAACTCCACACTCGGCCGCGATAGTCGGACTTGTCGACTCCGATAAGCATGGCCTCTATCCGACGCGATATCGTATAGCACTCCGGGAAGCGGAGTCTTGAGCCTCCCTTCACCCCATTTCATCTCCAGTGCCCCCATCCTTTGATCAGATCATCGAAATAATCTCTCAGAATCTGCGCTATGGCATCCACTACTGTCGACAGTGCGAGCTCAGGGACCCGCGGGCGCAAGAGAAGGAACTTGAGCAAGAATGAGGGCAAGAAGTTTGTCTGCACGAATGACGGGTGTGGGCGGTCTTTCACCAGAGCCGAGCATCTGCAAAGGCATTTGCTGAATCATTCGACGGGAGAATACACGTGTGATCGATGCAGGGCTCACTTTAAGCGGAGAGATCTTCTTGGTAAGAATGATGCATTCTTTCCTTGGCTTCGAGAATGTATGGCTGTTTTTGTGCATGAGCTGCTCTTCGCTGAGACGCACGGAACTGCATGCCATCAAAGGTGCCGCGCTCTTTTCGTGCTACAAGATGGAAGACCCTCCCATCATATACCGCATCTAGATTCCTGCTTGTTGGACCTCGCATGTATTGCATCGCGTCTTTGCTCTAGTATTGATCGTGACCGCTAACCTGTTTGCGCAGAGAGGCACATCAGTCGCCATCGGCAAAAAGACGAAGAAGCCGGCGCCGAGGGTTGTGGAGTGCTCAATACCCGAAAGCGAATGTGGAAAGATTCCGAAGGCAAGATAGTCACGAAGAAGCCCAATTTATCTAAAGACGGTCAGGGAACCGGGTCGCTGTCGCTATCGCAAACCGAGGACCTCTTGCAGTCGATGCCAGACTTCGCCGAGTTCGCAACACATCAGGGCCTTCCTATATCACCACCGACATCGAATGGGCCATCCCTACCCCATTCATTGGACGATAGAGACTCCGGTATAGGAATTAACTACCCCCAAACAAACCTCGATCCAAATAGCATTCCTTCATCTAGTTCATACTCACCTACAGATCAGCGCTTCTGGTCCGCCAATACTACGCAGTCATCAACCGAGCCATTTACCTCTGCGGTTTACGACAATGCGCCATTTGACGAGATATTCAATCCAGATACAGCGAGTTCCTTTAATGCGCCCTTTACAACCATGAGCAACTACAATTGGCTTTTTGATATGGACTGGACGCGGAACGATCAGGTTCAACAACCGATCATAGAGGACCCATTCTCTGCCTTACCCTTTGAAAACAATACGGTCTCTGAATCGATTCAGGGTTTAGATTTCCAACTGGAACAGGTGGATATGGAAGGTTCGCTATCGACGGTCGGCCAGTTTGGCTCACTTCCGTCCCAGCCAAATAAGTCTCTTCATGACCAAAACCACCACTCACCAACTGCGCAATTGATCACGCCGCCAATCGATAAAGCGCACAAAACAGCTGGTTCGCCGTCTAATCACGAGCCCTCCGGACCAACGACAGACAACAATGCTTTCCTCGACGTTGAGCGACCACTGTCTTTGCTGCAGCCATCGCGAAGCCTACCGATCATTGATGAGCTAGCTCGTCAGCAGCTACTTGACCTCATTGACATCGTACAGCCTACTGTACCAGACGGCAGTATAGTCATGCGCGACCACCCGCTGCTCTCGTTATCATGCTTGCAAACATACTGCGATTTGTTCTTCACGCGTTTCAACACCACGTATCCATTGATACATATGTCTACGTTTGACCCGTCAGAGGTCGATACACTTCTCCTTGTATCAGTCTTGCTACTAGGCGCAACATATGGAGAGAAAGACGCACACCAGCTCGCAGTAAGTAAATACGCCATGTGGTCTTCAAGCTCCGACTGACTCGAACTAGGTATGCATCCATGACGTGCTGCGGCCACAGATCTTTGCCAATGCCGGTTTTTCGGCGAAGCCAGATCTCTGGGTCCTTCAAACTATCCTATTGGTCGAGTGCTTTGGCAAAAGCAGAGCCGGACAAAAGCAACACGACATGTCGCATCTCTTCCACGGCTTACTCATCAACCTCATTCGGCGGAGCGATTGCCAAAGTATCCGGCCACCAACACCGGAAGAAGCCACGGATGATCTTGAAGATGACTGGCGGACATGGTGCGAAGCAGAGCAAAAGAAGAGGTATGTATTCATCAACTGAACCCTCACGGCACCTAGCTCAAAGTGCGCAGGCTAGCGTTCCTATGCTTCATGTGGGATACGCAACACGCAGTGCTTTTCTGCCAGTCACTTTGCATGTCCGCTTTTGAACTCCGTTCCAACATGCCATGCGATCAGGCCATCTGGGAGGCCGACTCAGCCGAGACATGGCATCAGTTGCGGCAGAGGCAGCCAACGACCCCATTGTTCCTATCCTGTCTGAAGATGTATCTTCACCCCGATGCTGCGACTATCCCCAAGAACCTGAATGCGTTGTCCCGGTCGTTACTTCTACATGGCCTAATGTCTGTAGCATGGGATATGCAACGGCGCGACCAAACATCGCTGGGCGTCATTGAGTCGAATCCACTCGGCAATTGGCAAGCTCGTGTCGCAGCCTCGTATTCCGCGTGGCACGCAGACTACACTGCTTTCTGCGCCGCATATCTTTCGTCGCTTTCGTCATCCACACCCTTCCTCGCTAAAGAATTCCACGTCTGCCGCACAGCTACACTAGCGCTTTATCACGCCGCGCACATCTTGCTCCACACACCCTTCCTGGACCTCCAAATCTACGCCGGATCGCGACATATTCTCGGCCGCCCAGTCGCGCGCCATGACTACGCACGCTCTCAACGTGTAGTCAAGAAGTGGGTAGCGGAGAACACAGAAGAAGCCGGGAAAGCAGTCTGGCACGCCGCCGCTCTCGTCAGCGAAGGCGTGGAAGTTCTCGACGGCGACCTGAGCTGTTCAGACATTAGCGGAGGGAGACTTTGGCACCACCCCTGGGCCGTGTACCTTGGTACGTTGGTGGTATGGGGTGTATGGTATGCTCGGCCAACTCCACCACCACCATCTGGAGATCAATTACCGCATCATCTTCAGCATCTACACGACGAGGATGAGATTATCTGGGATCCTGCTGCGGAAATGAAGACGTTGCTTAGCGCCATTCTTGTAGCTCAGCCTGAGAAGCTGCTTGAAACCGACAGTGAAGGCGTTTTCGCTGGCGGCATGGGGAAGAGGGGGACGAATGGGCTTGCAGCTGTGGTGAGCAAGTGTTTGAGTAAGGTGCGGTGGGCTGTCGTTCATGATGGTATGATGGTTCTTAGAGGGCTTGTACAGTGGCGTTTAGTTGGCGGTAGTGGTGGCCTATGAAATGCCAAGATCGAGAAATTCAATCGCGGCATCTATCTCTTCAGCACCTAGTCGCTTCCTTCTCCCCGTGTAATCCCAAGCCATCTATGACGGTGACCAAGAGTCCTCGCAGGCTTCTTATATGGCCACAGTCTGTACACCTTTGCTGGTCTGGCCGGTCTGTCATCGTTGGCGGTCGAGGATGGGGTTGAAGTACCCGAAACAGTGATGGACGTGCGCATGTTTCCTGCGTGTTTGGTGACCTCGGCAGTCGATTCAGTTGTCGGGCTATCGTGCGTGGTTGCGTATTCTTCATAGAGTGTTTTCACCAGACTAGCAGCCCAGGACGAGTCACCTAGCCCCAAGCGATATCGAATGGACGAACCGAGCGCAAAGGCCTTTAGCTCGCTAGCCAAGTTCAGCTCAAACTCAACGTACTCTGCTCTGGCGGCGGCCTTTGACTCCTGGTGTATACGCTCGATACGTGATTTCTCTGCCCGATACCGCTTCGTGTGGGTTGATGTACAGGAGTGATACAATCGAGTTTTCGCAATCTTGAGCTGCTTGTTTGCGGCCGAATATCTCTGGGCGGCCAACTGCCTCGGGCCAGCGCACTCATCTAAATACCTCTTGCCATATGCTGTTAGCAGATCTCTGTACTTTTGCGTCAAAATGACGAGGGAGCTATCTTCAACAAGCCAAGCAATGCTCTGAGCATCAGCAAGCAACTCCTCAAGACGGTCCAGATTCACCTCCGAGAACTCGTGTGCATACGCATTGCGGATGAAGCGAAGAGATTCAAGCCTTCTCTGGATGATTTTATATAGATCGCGCCAATGCTCGTCCTCGTCCAGGAGCTTTTCAAAGTCCTTGATAGATAAACCTTCGGGGTCATTCAAGTTCTTCTCTTGCATTACATCGGGAAACTGACGTCGGCCAAATACGAAAATAGCTCGTTTGAACCTTTCGTGAACATCACCCAGAATGTGGTGTTGGACTTGGTACGGCACCATGACCATGACGGGTTTCGAAGCTCCACGGACCTGAGTGGACTCCGGACTAGAGCCCAACTGCTGACCTGTCGTGTCTGTCTCTGGCTCGAAGGACAATACAGACGTTTTTTCTGCAAGGAGTCTCTCAAGATAGTCGCCGGAAAAGAGCAGCTTAAGGCTAGTAACCTTGTTTTGCTTTTCAAGGATATATTTTGACATCCCATCAAGCTTTGTTGTTGGCTTCAGGTATTCCAGTGTTTCATTGTAGAACGAACTCTGAGCTGCGCGCCAACGCTCCATCTGTTTGATCTCCTGTTGTAGAGTAGAGTGAGAGACTCTTGTGAACGGATTAAAGGGCCGCCCCAAGGTCGCAGTATCGATGGATGCATGCCCCAGTATTCGAAGCTGTCGGTACGATCGGTCGATGTGGTGCAGGAGTGCAGAAATCTCGCGTTGCTGAAGGCTCTTTGCTGAGCCCCTAGTTTCGTATTCTCGTACCTTCGCCAACAGTATCGCGGTCGTTTCACGAAAGAGCCTTGTTTGCTCATCCCGCGGTAGCCTTGGGGCAACGCGCGTAAACCAACCTTTTGCCATGTACTCATCATTGGCAAGCGACCTCTCAACGAAATCCGTGAAAGATTTTCGGGGCTCCGCCTTCTCCCCCTCTGGATCCGTGCCAGGAGTCTCGTCACTTGCTTTGATCTGCTTCTCAAATTCAACGATATGATCTTTGTGCTTACACAAGAGCCGGAGTCGGCGCCTTAAGCGATCCCGTGGTGCCTTTTGTCCTGGCACTGTGCGCTTGTACATTGATCTCGTCAGTATGATATGAGGCCGCAAAAGCTCCAACAATGCAAGAGCCGCTGCTCTCTTATCAGAGGGTGTAGGCAAGAGTTTAACGTAATGCATCCATGGCATCGTGATCGGGAAGCTTCTGTCGTCATCGATCGCAGCGCTAATCGATTGAATTGCAGCTTCATGCCGTGCTTTGGCCTCTGATGTCACTTCGTGTACAACATCTGCATCGTGCTTCGTACTTGTATCCAGGACTGTCCCGTCGCCCATTGATGGGTCGTGTTGCTGGGTGGCACGCGTCTCTTCCTCATCATCTCGCTTCTGCAACCCTTGCGACGACCACCTTGACGACGAGAATTGTATGCCTGCTGGCCTGAGCGAAACTAGAGCCTTGCTGTTCCAGCTTTGTCCCAGCGATGACGTTGCTGTACTTCGTGACGCAAGCCATGCTCGGCAACTTGCGTGCGAACCGAGTGCAAGACTGCGCCAGAGAGTGTCAAAGTGCATCAATGATAAGAAAATTGCGATGAATCAGCGGGATGAATGCGTAGAGGGGATGACAACGCGACGACAGTTGGGGCTGCTAACTCGAAGGAAAATGTGAACCAAAGAAGGCCGTGCGTGCTAGTGGCTGCGCTTACCGCATTGGGCGGTGTCTACGCCATTGCTCGAGGGCGGAACGCAGCAATCCAAGTGGTGACTCTTGCGTAGAACTGAGGTTGCATTCGTATATACATTTGATCCGCACAAAGCCACTCGATCCGCTAACATGAAAGAATGCAGCACTGCCTAAGTGAAGTATCTCCACATCTCACTCTCTTCCCCGTCGCCCAACTCGCTAGTTCTGACATCATCTGCCCTTAGTCTAACACCTTGCACCTTATCTCTCCGTCGATTCTCCAGCTTCATCCATCCTCCCAGCCACAGTGTGAAGCAGATACACGTAACATTACAAGCCGCAGTTGCATAAAGCGTCGGCAGGTACTTTGGCGCGTACTCTTGTCTAAAGGTCGCAGCGGAGACGATGCCTCCAAGATTGCCGAGTCCAACCATGAGGCCGGTCGTAGCAGCGCGAGCGTTCTCATTGAGATTGTTGTTGTTGTGCCAAGAGTGTACGAGACAGGAAGGTACGTACGCGCCTGCACATAACAAAAAGCAAGCGAAATATGCGACGGCTTTGTTGTTGAGAACGTCGATGGTTGCGAGGACGATGAGTCCGGCGAGAGAAATGCAAAGAGCGCCGCAGATGTGGAACGTGCGTTCGCGGAAGAAGTCGCTGCTGTACGTTATGCAGAGCAAGACGACGAAGCCCACCGCATTTGGCGCTACGGTCCAGAGATTGGTCTTGATGACGGAGAATCCGAGGCGTTGGACGATCTGAGGCAGAAAGTTCGAGGTCGTGCTGAAAGCTACAGGGTAGGTGAAGGCAATGATGCACCAGGGAAGCATCTTCCACGTGTTCCACTCCTTGAAGCATTCCCGCATGTTAAACTCGTGGGAGCCGGATGAGGATAGATCGCGGAGTGTGCGACGTTCGGCAACGCTGCGTTCAGCCTCGTTCAAGAACCATGCCGATTGAGGAGTCGCTGGTAGCCAGGCATACGCGATCAAAGCAAGAATTACGGTAAGGGCGCCCTCTATGATGAAGAGGAACTTCCAGCCTGGAATTGCAGTATGCTCGATCTGAAAGACGCCAAAGGAGATGAGGCCGCTGAAGGCCCCAGCGAGAAGCGCACTACCAAAGAATAGTGCGATGCGGAAGCCGAGTTCGCCGCGCGTGTAAAACAGCGTGAGGTAGAAGACGACGCCAGCGAAGAAACCGGCCTCGAAAGCACCTAGGAGGAGACGAATGACGAGCATGCCCGCGAAGTTGTGTGCTGCGCATTGGAAGAGAGCCATTGCGCCCCACCCTACCATCACTGTGGTTTATCGTCAGCTCATGTTGTGTGGTCTAAGAAGACGGACTTACAAGTCGGAAGCATAACTCTGCCACTCCACTTCTTCGTCAACATGTTGAGTGGGAGATCGCACAGTCCGTTCGGGACGTAGAATAGCAAGATCAACAAGCTGTACTGTT